CACAGAAAACAGTAACAGAAAATCGCAGATCAAATTGGTTTTATAGCACCAAACTCAAATTGTGAGTGCTGTTTTTATTCCTTTTTTTTTTTTTTTAATATTGAAGGTGTTTTAAATGTAAATTTGAATATAAATTCAACATTGCAATATACTGATAATAAGTATTATTTTTCAGGCGATTGAGGCTCACTTGATCCGCAAGTCTAGTGGGGGACTGACTTACATCGCTGAGTGGAAAGGGGGTCTGCTGGAGCATAAGATGGGCCACCTGACCTGCTTTGCTGGGGGCATGTTTGCATTGGGGGCGGACGGTGCTCCTGCAGGCCTGACCCAGCATTATCTTGAACTCGGGGCTGAAATTGCCCGTACCTGTCATGAATCTTACAATCGTACATGTGAGTACATGATACTCTCTATTTACAATCTATTCCCATGTGCTTTTACTTCATCCAGTAAGGAACTTTGTCATTTCTGCCATTGAAAGAATATCCACTGGGCTTGATGATATTGATGAATAGCATAAGGGAATTTACATTTTATTTTAAAAGGAACTATTTTTCTACATGAAAACATCTAACCTTGGTTTACCTAGAAACAAAAATCCAGGTTATAAAGGATTAAAAAAAAAAAAAAAAAAACCACCGCCACTGAGTCAAGCCCGACTCATATTGACCCCTGTTGGGTTTCCAAGGCTGTAAATCTTCATGAAAGTAGTTTGCCTCGTGTTCCTTCCATGGAGCATCTGGGAGATGTGAGCAGCTGACGTTGGGGTTAGCAACCAAATGCCTTATTACCATGCCACCAGCGCTCCTTTAGAAAGGAGTAAGCCAGTCTAATTTATTGACTCCTGATTTAGGTAAATAACATTGAGCAAGGGTGTCGGTCTTAGTGCAGAAAGAAATTGGGTGTTTTGTAAACCATTACTGATCTTCCCAATATCCCCATGAAATAGATCATGAATCTGGCTCCCCTCTTATAAAATAGGAGGTTGAAATACAAAATAACTGTTAAATAACTGGCTTTTCATTACATGGCAGCCTACAACTCCCAACCACTCATCTGGTGGGTTCTCATTAAATGGTAAATAATGTGAGAAATAAAGGCTTGTTACCATTTTCTTAAATGGGTTTTTTTAGATGAGTACAATTTAAAAAGATATTGCATATTATAAGTTCTGTGAGGTTTATAACAATTCTTAGAATGATTTTTTTTATTATTATTATTGTTTTTAAGTATTCTGGTTGCATTTAAGTTATAGATACTGAGTATTGCCCAGGACAGTAACTTTTGTTACCCACTGAATGTCCTTTAGATGTGAAACTTGGACCAGAAGCTTTCAGATTTGACGGTGGTGTTGAAGCCATTGCTACCAGGCAAAATGAAAAATACTACATCCTACGACCAGAAGTTGTTGAGACTTACATGTACATGTGGCGACTGACTCATGATCCAAAGTACAGGAAATGGGCCTGGGAAGCTGTAGAGGTGATGTTTTAATTTACTGTTTCTTATAGATAAATGTCTCAGTAAAAAATGTTCAGTATACCTGTAAATCTGGCATATCAGCTTTTGTATGATTCTTAAAGCTTTGACCAGGCTGTTTTCCGTTCAGGGTTGCTAAGTTGTGTCATGTCCCTGGCTTCAGTTTTGCTTTATGTAACCAGTTGCCAGTTGCTGTTGAGTTAGTTCTGACTCATGGTGCCCCATGTGTGTCGAAGCTGAACTGTGCTCTGTAGTATTGTCAGTGGCTGATTTTTCAGAAGCAGGTCACCAGACCTTTTTTCCCAAGGTGACTTTGGGTAGACTCGAACCTCCAGCCTTTTGGTTTTAACCTGAGACATTAACTGTTTACATACCACATCCTTTTTATGTCATAATAACAAAAATATCTACTAGAGGACTTTCATATTGAAAGATACATCTGGGCAAGCATATTAGAAAATCAAGTCTCATGACTATAGAAATTATAATCACATAATTTTACAAAGGGTTACTGGCAACTAAGGATATTCACCTATGCCTTTTGTGTGTTTCAGTGAACCACTAACATTATTTTACTGATTAGTCCTTGGACATTGGGATGATAGTAGATGCATTTACTTAGAGTAAATTAGCTACTTAGATCCAGCATTTAGAAAGAACTTTCAGAACTACTTTGTGTAAGGAATTCTTTCACTGTTTTTAGGTTTCTCGGAATATCTATGAGCTTTCCATCTGCCCAATGTGTTGTTTTAATTGTGTTTCCACCTCTTGAGTCTCTTCCTGCCAAATACATCATCTTCCTAAACTAATCTGTTGTACACTTTGTGCGCTGGATGCCAGAGAAGGCACCCTCCAGGATATGTATCAAACAATGTCTGATTTTATGAGTTGTTATTCTAAAAGGAGTGGGAGGGAGTGCAGGGAATATGAACAAGCATATGCTTTAATTACACTCTATTCTTTAGTGCATTTTGTCAGAAAGTTAAACAAAACCAAAAAAGCAAAATTGCCATGGAGTTGATTCTGACTCATAAGTGACCCTATTGGAACTGCCTCATAGGGCTTCCAGCGTTGTAAGCTTTACTAAGCAGATCGCCATATCTTTCTCTCACAGAGTAGCTGGTGGGTTCAGACGCCAGCCTTTCAGTTAGCAGCTTAGCACTTAACCACTGTGCCACCAGAGTTCCTGTTAGAAAGTTAGCTGTCTTTAAAAGCTGTCCATTAGGAATAGCTTCTCTGAGGAAATCTAAACTGAATATTGCCTTTGTGAAAAATTTAATATCATAGAAAGTCTTTGATGAGTTTGCTTATTACCCTCTTCATTTAGTATGTGTCTTACCACTGATCATCAGTCATTTTAATAGTAACTCTTCAGACCTCTTTTTGTTGTGCAAAATTTTCTAATTATGTTTAATCAGTGGTAGTTCCAATTGTTGTAAATGTTTGTTCTCTGAAAAAATGTGTTAGAACTGAGGCTTATTTAAGCTTTGGTTATAGGGAATTCTTTTAGGAAATTATTTTGCCAAATGGCAATGGAAAATTGTAGGCCAGTACTCACTTTGCAAATATAAATTTAAGTTGAAAATATCAATAATAATATATTTCATCAAATCTAATATACCATAACAAGCAAGAAACACCATTATTTTATATACCTCTAAAAAAGAAAACCACTGAAAAATTATGATACTCATCTCAATTTTAAAATCCATCCCAATTTCAGAGGTGGAGAATGTGAAAAAAAAAATGTATGAGAGAATTGATCTAAAATGAAAAGTGAGTAAGTCTCTATACCATAAAGGCAGGAAGCTTTGGTTTTTGCTTGATTCTTCAGGGGGTTTGCCTGTTTATGAGACAGTAAAGTTTATGTTTTATGATTTTTTGTTTTGTTTATTAATCTGTTGTTAAGTCTAGCATAGCATATGATATGAAATTGTTTCCCTGTTTCAAAACACAGGGTCCTCCTGGTTTTGCTACTAGTAACTTCTGCTAATACTTGATATATAGTGGAGCAGGAGGAGGGCTGGGGGCTCTTACTTTTTTGAAAGCAAGGAGATCAAAGAATTGGAAAGCATGACAGTACTTTTCCTGTGTCGTGTCTCCTGGCCTCCCATGTGTCAGCTGTGGCTGCAATGGGCAGTCCTCTTGCCTGCTGGCAATATCCTACGTCAAGCACCCAGCACGTCTCAGCAGTTCTGACTCAGAGCTTTTTCTCAGGAAGCTGGCTTCTGGGAAGTGGTAGAGATTTAACACCTCCAGGGACAACCCTCACCCAGTGAGGTTTTGGAGTTGATGGTTAACTATCCCAGTCTTCTTTCTTTGAAGAATAATTCTGAGGTGCATCCTACAGAGTTCTCTGGGGGGGGGGGGGGTTTCCAAAGGGATTTGAGCCCCAGCTGCACATAGCTCTGACTTACTCATAGGCATATTTTATTGGCTCTTCTCTTCGCCATTTAACTCTCTCCACTTACTCACTTCCTGGTACCACCTCCCCAATAAACTTTAGGAACCCAGTCCTTGACTTGAATTGTTTTCTGGGTTACCCAAACTAAAACTTGAGGGATCTTATAAATCACCTACCCATGTCTTCCACTCGAAGACTCCTCTCTCTTAAATCTTTGCCAGATGGTTAATCCTCATCTATTTGAAGACTTCTCAGCAAAGTTGAATCCACTAATAAAGTAATTTATTCCATTTTTTTAAAATGGGTGAAAGTGTTAGAAGGTTACTTCTTTTGAGCCAGAATGTGTAATGTTTTGTGCTGTAGGAGTACTGGGGGGAAAACTCCATCACTCTTGGACATTTAGCTCATCAGTTATCTGAAGACTACATGTTTTGTCAACTCGTCCCTTCCTTATTCATCATATATGCCCACCTTCTCATGCAGGGTTTAGTCTTTTCAGGTGTAGTCTTTCAGGGCTGAACATTTTAACTCAAAAACCTCTCTTTTGAATGTGAGTTTGCACAGCTTCAAACCCACCAGCCACTCCTTGGAAGGAAGGTTGGGCAATCCTACTTCCGTAGTGATAACTGCCTTGGAAACCCAAGGAGGGGTCACTAGGAGTCGGGCCGACTCTATGGCAAATAACAACAACAACAACAGGGTCCAATTAGCTCTTTTAGTAGATGTGCAAAACCCCCGGCTTCCATTGAAGTTAGTCAAGCCATGTTAGCTGCTACATTAGCTATTTTGTGTCACATCTCTTTTGTTCTGTTCTTGTTTGTTTCCACCCATATTTTCAGTTTGTAAAGATATTTTTAAATCCTCTCCCTTCGCAGCCTTATTTCACTGATACACTTTATAAACCTGCTTTCCATATCTTAACAAAATTTCTTAATAATAATGTTGAACCAGATATGCAGAGATGTGTGATCCAGAAGTACAATAAAAGAAACTTCTCCGACAATTAGCAGCAACCCATTCATCATAGGTGTTCTTCCACTTACGAATTGATCTAATAGAAATAGCATCTAATTGTTCATTCCTTTAGTTTTTCTCAGTGATGTTATAAAAAATGTTACTGAAATCTTCCCAGTTAAACAGCTGATAACTTTATAAGTTTATCAGAATATTGGTAACATATATTTATGTGTAGGTTAATGCACATTATATAACGCATAGGAAGGAGCTCTGGTGGCACAGTGGGCGAGGCATTTGACTGATAACCAGATGATTGATGGTTCAACCCCACCAGCTGCTCTGTGGAAGATGAGGCAATCTGTTTCTGTAAAGATTTACAGCCTTGGAAACCCTGTGGAAGTTGCTATGAGACAGAATCACCAGTGGAGAAGATGTGTAGATACATAGGGATTATCTGGCTGGTCCACTGGGCAGGATAAGCCTTATCTAGGAATATTTTTAGCAGAGACATTTTCACAGTCTCCTAAAACCAACCCATTTCTACATGGAAGGTCTGTCTCACCAATTACTTCCCATATTTAAACTAATAGATAAAAGAATGCTTTTCTATCCCCACAATAATGTGTCTGACTTTTGACTTAATTCCTGCTGCTTGCTGTTCTATTATAATCACTTGGGGTTAAGTTTGTCTTTTATCCTCAGTTTAGAGCTCACAATTATGATAAACCTTCTCATACTCTTGTTTTCCCTGTAATTAGCACATCTCAGTCACTTATGATCCCTGATAGTATAAGCATTTGCATAAAATTGAGGTAGTGCCTGTGCTAAAGGCAGAGTCCCAAGAGCTCAGTAAAATGATGTTCTGACAAGACTTCACTGCACATTCAAGTGGCTGCTTCTGCTCTTGCGATAACAGGAAAAAGAGAACCTGTTATGAGGGTGGGGAAAACTTCACATTCTGGAAGTCTTAACATTTAGACTTTTGACATGTGTTTGAAGATTAAAAATGCCTCTTTTGTCATTTTACTTTTTTTTTTTAATTTACCAAATGCCCAACAAAACTGTTGGTGGCACAACATTTACGAGCTCAGCTGCTAGCCAAAAGGTTGGTATTTTGAACCATCCAAGTGGCTTCACAGGAGAAAAGACCTGGCAATCTGCCTCTGTAAAGACCATGGCCTAGAACACCCCATGGGCCTGTTCTGCTCTGTCACATGGGGTTGCCCTGAGTCGGAAATTGACTGGAAGGCACCCAACAACAGCAAGCACTTCATTCCCTTGTTTTATTCTCACTACAACCCCATGTGGAAGGCATCATCACCGCCATTTTACATATAAGGAGGTGATGCTGACTGGGTCAAGGAATCTCTGAGGCCAAGGTTAGAAGGTCTAGAGCTACGATTTGGTCTCCCACTCTAGAACTTTATATTATAGTCTCAATACTATTGCCTTGTGAGGATATGGGAATAAAGGAATGTGTGGGGGTGAACTGGAAAGTGGAAATGATTGGACATTATCTAAATACCCCAAACCAACTTTTTTCAATAACAAAAGGAACTTATAACCAAAAAACCAGACTAACTGCCATTGAATCGATTTCCTTGGGTTTCCCAGGCAGTATCACTGTGGAAATAGATTGCCCAACCTTCCTTCCAAGGAGTGGCTGGTGGGTTTGAACCACCAGCCTTCTTGTTAGCAGTCAAATGCCTTAGGCATTATAAGAAACTTCTGCTTGGGGTGTGGGGAAACTATTCATCTTGCCTGGCTTTCCATTAGCATATCACTAAAGGGGAGCTCTGGTAGCATAGTGCCTAAGGCACTTGACTGCTCACCAGAAGGCTGGCGGTTCAAGCCCACCAGCCACTCCTCGGAAGGAAGGTTGGGCAATCCTACTTCCATAGTGATACTGCCTCGGAAACCCAAGGAGGGGTCGCTATGAG